AAGCTATGAAAAATAAACGCATCTCGTTAGTAGTTACTGGTAACGAGTAACGCATGCGTTACTCGTTATCAGTAACGCAATAACGCATGCGTTACTGCGTTACCTGTAAAGAAACGGTAAAGCGCCATCCCTAGTTCTGCTAGAATGAATCAACAAAGGAAGAGAGGACAGGAAAACATAATATTTATAATCGAGAATATCTGAATAAACGGATCTTATCATTTTCAAAAACTAAAACCCATACTCGCGTGTGAGGAACAGTAAGAAAAGGACAATTAATACTTGACATCTGAGAAGGTTTTGCAGAAACATTGAGCGACAGTTTTTTATGTGGTTCCAAAACTGTTATTAGAGTATTTTCTTTTTATATTTGCATTTTGAGGATGCTTCAAAATGGATACTGAATTCTGTGTATAAGTTAAAACTACTTGTTCATTACGTATTGTTTTAGATCATTTGTTAGCTTGGTGATGCACTTCTTAAATCTTAATTCTAAATGATCATAGTAAGAAGTTGTCTATATTATGTCCTATCGGATAATAGATAAAAACATTGTCTAACTGTGGAATCAATCAGTTGTATTCATTTCTGTTTACTCTATTCTTTTCTGTTTTCATCCTACATGTATCTTTTTCTTTCGTGCTTTTTGACACGTTTTGTTATGGGCATATACAGATACATTAGAGTCGTATAAGAATAAGAAGGGGCGCTTTTCTCAGTTGTTTGTAGATAAAAATTCGTCTTATCATCGAAATTTAACTACCCTTCTGTTTCTATCTCCACTTTATTACGTACAAACTTGAACGGTAAGGTGGAGATTTCTCTGACTTTAAAAGCACAAGCTATTTCTGACTTGTTTTCTTGGCACATCACGAGACTGCAATGGTGTAACTACGCGGGGGAGCACTGACCCAATAAGATTTTGGACTCTGTGCTTTTCCCAGCTAAAAATTTGAAAAAGGGTTTTTGGCCCAGTGTTTTCTCGAATTATTATAGTGTGGCCCAGTCGTTTTTTTCGGAGTAGTGGAGGTGGTCCAACAGTAAAAAAATCCTAGTTACGCCAGTGCGAGACTGGTAATGTTAATATGATTTTATTCACATGCTGTGTACGTCATTTGTTTTATTTTTATCATTTTTCATCCAGTCCTATGTAACGATATGCCTTATGTTGTGACTGGAGCATCACTGTAAGCCTTGTCCACTCCCGTTATATGATATTCCAGAAAGTAGATCTGACTGTCGAATTTTGTTTACTAAGTATCATCGTCTGATATATATCATAGTATACAAAAAAACAACAAAAAGTTTTCGTTAGAACTCCTGAGCTTGACTTTTTGGGGTTTTCTAAAATCTTCGTTTTCCAGAGACCTAGTCTGTAGGAATTGCAGCTGGTACAGCTCTGTTTAGCCGTTTTGCGGGATACACTTGAACGGTTAAACAAGACTGTACGAATATCGGTTTCTATTAGGAGTAAATGCCAAAATCGATATTCATTTTGTAAACTACGGAGTTTTTTAGAGAGCCTTCCTGACTGCAAATTCTTCAGTTACTGGAATCACTTTTTTGAATTTTTTTAAATATCCTGCTCGAGAAAAAAAAGCCGAAAATCCCTAAACTATTGCTCACCAAATCAAAAAACTCAAACTCCCCTATTACGTTCGTTAATTAACAAATAAGAGGAATACCCCTTTAAAAGAGATAAGCAGAAAGCATTCAGTTCCAGAACGTAAATGATTAGCGAGAACTAGTGTTATTAGAACTTAACTTTGTATTTTCTTCATCTTATTCTAGGTGTAGTAATGGATAAAATTCGTGTTTTTCTTCTACTGTGTTTATTAATTTCATCATGTGATGGTGTTTGCAAATGGTATGGCATAGCGCCACTTTGTTTCATTGGTAATAGTTGTCCAGATGGTTGTCCAAAATGGTATTCTAGTAGTACGGCTGATGGTGCAACATGTTGGTTTGGTACTGAAAAAAATTATTGTTGTTGTATTGAATCAGCTATTGTTAATTTTATTAAAGATATCGTCTCAAAAAAATAATAACAGAATACAAAACGAATGACTTTACAAGGTCCAGCGTGCACATAGTCTATTGGTATTTTGAACACAGTCTTTGATAGTTTATTTAGTTGTTTAGTTGATTGTACATTCTTTTTATTTGCTTTCATGTCAAACTTACTTATTTTTAATTCATTTGTTTTTGAAAAATATGTTTAGAGGTGAAAGACACTGTTCAACTATTAAGTCTCCAGTTACAGCAACAATCATTAAGAGAAAATTTCGTGCCGTATTAAAAACCTTCAGTGGATCATCTAGTCAATGTGAACACATTTGCCGATATGAATGATATATCTGCTCTCACTGTTTTTTCTTGTCGTTTAAAATCACCATTCCGTGTAAACGTAATCGGCCGACTCCTCCATCTGGAATAATATTGAGTCGTACATGTGTAAATACTTGTTCATGATCAATTATTTCTTCTTCAAAATAATGTTGTTTATCGGCATATAATTTTGTTTCATTTAAAATCATATTCCATTTCACTTTATGCCAATTTAAATTATTAATATCCAAACTGGTTTCATAACAACCATCTAACCAACAACGATCAGGATAATTGCCTTTATAATGGGCTGTATCAATTTCGATCTTTTTCAAATTACCTGGTTTTGCTAATTTGATGATAACCCAATCATTACCAGGACCACTGTTGAAAAGAAAAAAACATTCAATTTTTTCGTTTAAAATTGAGATGAGATTCCTCTAAACAAACCGTTTTCGTCTTGTTTCCCATCCATCACCCATATTTACTCCTCTACCAGGCATGATTAAATTATCTTTATTCCCAAAAAACATGTCATTGGCCGCGATTACTTGACCACCATTTTCAATTGCAGCCAAATCAATAATTTCTTTATTAGCCTGTAATTTACTCCAGTCCTTAACAATATGTCCATAGGCACGAAATCTTGCAACGCCACCATCCGGATAAATGTTCAATCTTATATACGTACACTTCTCTTGACTTTGAATAGAAAATATATTTTGTGAACCTATATTAAATAATGATATAATTGTACGGAAATTTCAAGTGAAAGTATCTCTGAGGAAAAGAGTTTGAATTTGAATGGTTAATATGCTCAAAATCAAACAGGTTACCTTGTTTCAATGATGATTTTGGTAATACTTCAGTCCAATTGGCTTGATCGATAAATTCATCTTCATTTGCTAGATAAGTGACATCTATAGATGCATATGGTGGATGATTTCCTAAAAAATGATTTGTATCGATATCGACACCGCGAATAATACCCAAATATGGCAATTTTATTATACACCAGTCGTATCCTTCTACTCGTTTTCTTCTTGTTTCCCAACCGTCCATCCATTTCCCTCTATCCGTATATTTGTCAGGAATAAATACACCACGACCAGGTTTTAAAAGATTTTCTTTCTCAGCAAAAAATTCATCACTTGCATTAATAACTTTTCCACCTAATTTTTCACTAACAAGATCAATAGAACCAGCAAATGTTGACGGATCCAAATTATTGTCTCGCTCTGCTTGCAGCTATAAAGATTGATATAAGATCTTAACTATTCAGATGTAATAATATCGGTTTTACCTACCGTATTTTTAACGAGCAAAGTAAAAACCCAAAACAATACTTCCGTTAGGATCATTATGGAAGGGCCACCTGTCCGATATCACTAAACAGATCTAAAGACATTTTAAAAAATAGATTCAAATGTATTTGAGAATATCAATATCCAGCACATTTTTTGTGACTAAGATAATACAGAATTATTTTTGTAGAAAAATTGACTATAATAATTACCGCTGATGAACGGACTAGTTGATCATCGCACGAAAAACTAGAAAATAAGTCATTTTTGTGAAGTGAAAGCTAGAATCTCCATAGCTGTAGACGAAATTACGACATATTCTTGCTTGTAGAACTGACTGTCACATTACACTCACTTTAGTAGTTAGTAGTAGAGGATGATCACTGGTTTAATGAGAATTTCCAGTATACTGGATAACTATGTGTAATGAGACGTTTCGTTATTATCCTTGACAACATCAGGTAAATATAAGCGAGTCGAAAAATAGTTAGATACATAGTAAAGATAAAAACCATGCATACAAAACGAATCGAAAAATGATAACTATCACTCATTATCTAATATACCTCTCATATCTATATGCATTCCATTCAGCCTCTTACATATAAATATATTTTGTTGTTTGCGATATAGTGAAGAATTCGGATTGATAAAATGATGTAGAACGCAAAAGAACTAGAAAGAAAATTTTCTTGACCAGTGATGGTATCAGGAATTATTAACAAACTGCAATAATTGTTTTATATATATTCTCATATTTCATATGTATTCTAATCAGGTGCTTATATATCAACACGTGAATGGAACTCATATGAAATACTAATAAATGACGATCATCATTTTTTATTCGTTTTATATGCATAGTTTTTATCTTTACTATGTATCTAACTGTTTTTTTGACTTGCTTGCATTTGACTGGCGTTGCCAGTACATTGACGATGTTGTTTCAAATTACAAACATTTGGTTGGTGTACTATTAATTCCAGTCTGTACCTGTCTTAAGAATTTTCATCTAAAAAATCCTTCATTACACGAAAGTAAATGATGTAGAATTTTGCTATTTACTCTATCTGCAGTAAAGGGTAAATTATAATATTTTATAGAGAAAATTTAGGTATAAGATATGGGATTAAAATAACCGTGTTATTTTTAAGTTTAAAAGATTTATTCTCAAACAATACGCTGAAGAACAAAACCTTTGTCCTTTAAGTCTTTTTATCCCTATAGGGACAACTTGTTCTTCAGAGAACGGGTTTTTTAAGAACTTCCAAAAAACTGAAGAACAAGTTTTGTGTTTCTCTGAAAAATATAGGCGATGAAGATCACACTTTGAAGAACAAAAGTGTTGTTCTTCAGATTTGAGGGGACAAATTATTCTCTGAAGAACTTATTTTTTAAGAAGTTGAAGAACATAAGTTTTGTTCTTTAAAGGACAAAAAGTTTTTTTTCGCCTTATTTTACATCTGTTTTACATCAGATTAGAGATGATTGAGCTAGCTAGTACCCTTTAGAAAATCTAATCTTCAATGAAGAAATCCATCACAACTCGTCAGCTCAACTACATAGTTGAGGAGAGAATCAAAAAAGGCGGAGATCATAAATACCATAAGGGGCAGATGAACAAACATGTAGAATTAAGAATAATGGTAGATAGATAACACACATGAAAAAACAGAAATCTCATGAGTGTCTTAAAAACCTCCTTCTACGTTCTCAAAGTAACCGTAATTTTTTAATTAACGTTCTAGCAGCACTTTCATCACTGACCACTGAGTTTTTGGAATAAAATAAAATCAAAGAATTCCTTAGTCTTTTTTGCGCCTTGATAAAAATCAATATTGAACCAATGAAATAGACCTGCCCATATCACTACTGCTTCTAATGGATTAACTGTTCTAATAAGATGATTTGAATCTAAACCAATTTTGAAATAAATAATGGAATCGTGACATACCAGTATAGACGGCCAAGAGCTTATCAGACCTTTTGGATCCTTGAAGTAAAAATTAAAAAAAGTGCATGAATGATTCCACTACATACAAGGTATAACTTTTTAGTGCTGCAGTTAATAAGAAAATTTGAATTAGCCTACTCGTTTTTAAGAACTAGACATAAAAGTTCTTATGATTTTTAAATTCATGTTTTTGAAATAAATCAATTAAACGAGCAATGTTGCATCTGCTTATCGACAATACTTCATTCTCGAATTCATTTGATTCTGATGATAACATTCTCGAAGTTTCGTCCCGCAGAAGACTATCTTCGATTAGTAACACCTAGAACGCAACAAAAGTCGAAAAATGAGACAACATTAACTGGATAAAATTGTAGATTAATAAACTGCAATAAAAGAGTTTTTTGGACTAAAAACTGATCAAAAACCCAGAAGAGTTTTTTAGCGAGTTTTTTAGGCCAAAAAACTAAAAAGCGTTCGTGATCGTTTCAAAATGAAAAACTTTTTTGGTCATTTTGAAAAACCGAGGAAAAAACGTACGCTGATAAGCTTATTTTCTTCTAACGGTCTTATAGCCTAAAAAAGCTAACCGGCAAAACCTGAATGTCAAACAGGAAGATCACAACAACATAATTACACCTCACAATCTCGAACTCCTCTTTTACTTCTAAATTTTCTCTGTTGCTCAAATGAAGACAAACAGATTAAACGATGATAGAATAGAATCTGAAAGAAGGATAACCATCCAGAAATCAATAGTTTGAGAGAAATTTTCTACAAAAGCTAAGGACGATGATGCAGCTCGCAAAAAAAAAGTTTGTTTGTTTATCGTTTTAAGTTTGTAGAAGGCAGTTGCTATTATCATTTGATCGCATTCATCGCCTCTCCTCAATTACGCATTTTCATAAACAAATATTTTAATGGACTGTGGATTCTTATTCTGTGAAGAACAAAAATATGATTTACGTTCTTCAGAAAGGTGGGGAATAAAAAAAGTATGTTCTCTGAAGAACAAGAATTCGTTTTTTATTCTTCATAAAAATGAAAAACTAATTTTTTGAAGAACAAAATCGAGAAAACAGACTGAAGAACATATATTCCGTTCTTCAGTTTCTAAAGAACACATTCGTGTTCTTCACCATCTTCTCCAAAGAACGGAAGAACACAGATTTTTAACAGTATAAGCTGTTTCTCTACCGTAGCAATAATATAAAAAAAAGGCTGTGAATAATATTTGTACAACTAACTCAACTATATTCATTATTTTATTTAATAATATAGAAGCTTTCAACTCAGACTAGACTCATCATCAGCTAGATATTCAATAAAAGGAACGACGTATATATCAAATGTACAGCTGATGATGACTCTAGTCTGAGTTGAAAGCTTCTATATTATTAAATAAAATAATGAATATAGTTGAATTAGTACAAATATTATTCACGTTTATCAACGTTTTCTCAACAAACAATATTAGTAAAAAAAAGCTGTCATCGTGAAGAGAAGAAACCCTTATTTTTTTCAAGGCTAGCTTTTAAACTGATACCAAACGACGTCGATTTATGGCAAGATCAAATTTAATAGGTTGCCTGCATCAAATGTATTTGACCCATTGGACTGTACTTCGCCGGTCTAGATAAATATCATGCTTGTAACTACCGATAGCCAACAGTTTTCTAAGAAATTCGTATCTTCTATACTTATAAAATCTGTAGAATGAATAGAAAATATGAGTTATCGATCACTTCAGTTTAATATTACTGCTATGCTTATCTTTACACTGAGATTTGAAAAACACGTTTATTTTTTAGGACTTGTTGCTACATGGATTCTGAGAATATTAAAAGATTTAATCGACCGGTATTATTTTGATATTTATGCAATCAAAGCGTTATTTTCCAATGATATTTCGTTTAACAATTTTCACCGCCGGATTGGACAAGATAGTTATGAGTTCGTGCATTTATTTGATATGTTATGTAAGAGAGAGACATAAGAAATGGTCGAGAGGCTACGAAAACAAAAGATTTTTCATAAAATATCATATTCAATGAAATTTCTATATTCTCATTAGTAAAATTTACAAGATGACCGCCCAAAAACATGCTCACATCGTTTGGCATAAAACCGGATGTTTAAAAGAAATACTGGTGAAATGAAGTAGAGAACTGCTGAGAAGATCATGATTCATTCAAATCACAGATTTATTTTCACAATATTTCGACAGTCACTGCTGCCATTTTCAAGTGAAAAGAGATAGAGCTGTATATTGGCTTTCAGTAGACACGTATATATGTAAGTAAAAATAGAGAGAGAGAAAAAACAAAAACATTTCAATTTAGTTTCTTTTGATATCAAAACACTTTCAGTTTATATTTTACTTCATTAGTTTGATTAGTTAGTATACTCTTTTTGATAACTCTTCTTTTCCACATTGATTCCAAAGAAAGTGTCTCTACATTATCGAAATCCATTTTATGATTCATTTGATTAGTGTGTTGAGCAATTAGCAACTCTTCTCTGAGAATGGACTCTGAGAAGAGCAAACAGACTAAGAAGAACTTAGTAGAAGAGAAAGAGAAGGAAATGAACAAGTATTTAACATCGCTGTATAAACAGAACGTTATCAAACAAGATCTATTCTACTACCTTCGGTCCTCCTGCTCCTCACCTTCAGTCTTCTACGGCCAACCGAAGATTCATAAGGATAATGCGCCTCTTCGACCAATCATCTCTACTACCGGTACGTACAACTATCGTCTCTCTCAATATCTAACAAAAATTATATCAAATGAAAGAGAGAAACCGCCAGCATTTATTAAAGATAGTTTCGAACTCATGAAGAAAGTCACTAAATTGAAAACGAATAAGAATGAAGTCATGGTGAGTTTCGATATTGAAAGCTTGTACACTAATGTACCAGTTAGTGAAGCAATAGAAACAACGTTGGATCTATTATATAAGAATAATAAACAGCCTACCAACTTCTCTCTCGATCGCTCTCAATTCAAAAAACTATTGGAACTGTCATCACTCAACGTTCCTTTTCGTTTCTACAATGAGAACTTCGTTCAACAGGATGGCGTCGCCATGGGCTCTCCCATTGCACCCATCCTAGCCGATATATTCGTTTCAAAACTAGAAGAGAAATTAAGACACTTTTCCACTAACAAACCAATAGTCTGGTCTCGGTACGTTGATGATATCTTCTGTATTTTCACCAAGAAACAAAACATAACAGACTTTCTCTCTCGAATTAATAAATGGCACGACAATATTAAATTCACAATAGAATATGAAAATAACGATCGTCTTCCTTTTCTTGATCTTCTCATCATACGTGAAGGTAATAATTACTCTACAACAGTCTACAGAAAACCGACTACAACAAATCTATATCTTCTATATGACAGTAATCAGGCTAGAAAGTATAAATTGGGACTAATAAAATCTTTGTACATTCGGTCTCTTCGTCTTTGTTCAAATGCTAATCATCTCAAATCAGAACGTGAACATCTATTCTCAGTACTAAAACAAAACGGCTATCCATCACATATAATAAGGAGAGGAATAAGAGAAGCAAATGTCATTT